ACTGGTGCCACAGACCCGAGGTGCCCCAGAGTTGTCCTGGTGCCGTGCAGCCACCTTGGGCCACCGTGCTGTGCCAGCTGCCTCCTATGGTCGCATCTATGCTGGTGGGGCCACAGGCAGCCTTTCACAGCCAGCCAGCCGCTACTCCTCTCGAGAACAGCTGGACCTGCTCCTCCGGCGGCAACTGAGCCGTGAGCGACTGGAGGAGGCCCCTGCCCCTATTCTCCGTCCCCTGAGTCGGCCAGGCTCCCAGGAATGCCTGGATGCTGCGCCAGGCCGCCTGGAGCCCAGAGATCGGGGCAGTACCCTACCACGGAGACAGCCACCCAGGGACTACCCTGGTGCCAGGGCTGGCCGCTTCGGGTCACGCGATGCTCTGGACCTAGGGGCACCCTGCGAGTGGTTGAGCACACTGCCCCTGCCCCACAGTGCCCGGGACCTTGACCCACAGCCCCCGCCTCTGCCCCTCTCTCCCCAGCGGCAACTCTCAAGGGACCCCCTCTTGCCATCCCGGCCCCTGGATTCTCTGTCCAGGAGATCGAACTCAGGGGAGCAGCTGGACCGTGTGCCTAGCCGGCACCCCTCACGAGAAGGCCTTGGGCCACCCCCACAGCTGCTCAGAGTTAGGGAGGACCCAGCCAGTGGCCCTAGCCATGGCCCCTCCACAGAGCAGCTGGACATTCTTTCTTCTATCCTGGCCTCCTTCAACTCCTCAGCTCTCTCCTCCTCTGTGCAGTCCTCAAGCACGCCCTCGGGCCCTCACACCACTGCCACGCCTTCTGCTACTGCCTCTGCACTTGGGCCCTCCACACCACGGTCTGCTACATCTCATAGCATCTCCGAGCTGTCTCCAGACTCAGAGTAAGCAGAGTGTGGCCACCTGCCTACACCCTCGTTAGCTTAAGGCAACCTCCTGTGTACCCTGCCCTGTGTTTTGCCACAGAACGTAGGTGTGGGTTGGTGGACGGTGTGGGCTACCCCAGGCTCAGCACAGCCAGGCGCCACAGGCAGGGAACAGCGGTGTGATTAGCAGTGTGATTAGCAGTGACCTGCCGGTGTAGGATTGGTGCCAGCCACCCTCCCCTTGCACCTCCCGGGCTAGGGAAGAGAGATAAGTGCCTTCCAAAGGGTTTGGACTAGTGGAGGGGGCAAGAGCAGGAGCCAAGGTCTAGAAGTAGGAGATAACATGGTACATACAAGAGGCAAGGGGGAGAGGAGGAATCATTACTGGGGATGCTTTGCTTAGGAGTGGTAAGGGTTAAGGAGGGGCCAGAAGTAGTGTCAGGATATGGGCATCTCATATGCCAGGATAAAGAGCTAATTTTAAAAGTAAATAATTTACCCACTTCTTTATTTAATCAATGTGAGTTTCCTTGTACCTATGGGCAATGTGAGATGGAACACAGAGGAGCTGACTCGGGGCCTGTTGCATCTCAGGTGCCTGTGGGACATCTGTAGGGTGGGGAGCAGCTGGGTACACAGGAGTCAGAGAGGAAGTAGGGAGGAACCAGGGCTTGCCAGCCACGGAAGCCAAGAGAAGAGTTGAATTCCAGGAAGGAGAAACAGCTAGGTCAGGCTCTGTGGAGGTCTGCAAGGTGAAAGGAGGCTTTGAGGGGAAGGGATGCCAAGAGTGGTGCAGGAGACTCATAGAACCCAAGCAGAGTCAGAGGAGGAGAAAGGGAGGAGGAGCTGGGGATTTAGGGCCTGGTGCCAGGGATTCTGGAAAGATGCCTGAGGTAGGGCTGAGGGAGAGCTCTGAGCTTTGAGTATTGCTCTGGCCTTGAGGTCTGGCTGGTGGGTGGTAGGGAAGGTGTCCTAGGGGACTGACTACACAGGGGTTCAGGCTCTGAAGTCACACTTGACCTCTCTGAGTCTCTGTTTCCATATTTGTAAAATGTGTCTGTAGTAACAAACTCTTTGAGATGTGGTGATTTTTTGAGACAGAACCTGTCAAGTGCTAACCTAGTATCTGTGCATGGCAGGTGCTCGCTGAGTGCCTAGAGAGAAAACAGGTGACCAAGGGGCCTTGCTGATGAGTCTCAGGATGCAGAAGGGGTCTGAGAACCCTGGAAGGGGTGGAAGGGGGCTGGGGACTGAGAGGAGAAGGTGATGGGGTTGGGGGTGCTGAGATGGTGGGGACCCAGGCTGTGGGGGATCCCAGAGCCCCCTGACTCATTGTCAGCCACCACCTCTGACCACTGCATTCAATTCTGCAGAGTTCCCAGAAGCGAGGGCCACTCCTGAGGGCCAGACTCATGGACTAGGAACGGCTGAGGGCGATGGAGGATTTGAGCTACCAGAAGAGACTCCAGGAGTGAGGGGCTGATCCTAAGGCAGTCTCTACCTACCCCACCCCCAGCTCTGCCTGTGGCTGCCATGCCGAGGCTCCATGCTCCATTTGTGAGCATGTGAGCAGGTGTGTAACAGGTGCAGGGTGAGAGAACTGAAAGGAGGACTTTTATACGTTTTGTACCTTTGTAACCAGAGAGATATGCTTATGTTATTTTTCCGCTTTTTTGTCTCCCGGGGTTCTGAGGCTGGGCTGGGAGGGGAAGGGGACAGAGGGTAAGAGGTGCAGTGTTTGGCCCCATTTGGGTCCCTGGCAAACCATATGCTCTTTCCTCTCATCTGACTGGGGTGGATTCAGACAGGAGGGGCAAATAGCCCCCATCCTTTGATCTGAATATCATGAGGGCCTAAAGTACAGAATTGATCTTTGCTTTTTCTCGGATGCTCCGAGGGCCAAACTTCAGGGACTGGGGGTTGGTCTTGGAAACAGGGGTCCTCTGACCTCCTCATGGGGCTTGCTCATGCTGCCCCTCCCCGTGGATGTGTGTGTTTCTTATGTGGAGTCCCTGCCACTTACTGCCTTATGACCTAGGACTGATGCTGTGGGGCGCTGGTGGAGCAGCAGATGTCATGTTTACAGAGCAAGGCTTTCTTTTCTCCCATGCGGAGGAGCTCAGGCCTCTATTCAGACATTCCTGCAGAGGGTAGACTGGGGGGTCATTCGCCAGCCCCTGCCTCTGGTGTGAGCAGAAGTTGTCTGTGGTGCCATTTGATTCCCTCACACTGCCCTTTGCTAGAATTTCTTCCTAAGGATAGGGGTAGGAGGGGGAGCAAGGGGAACAGAAAGAAGAGAATTGAAGACACAGAATGTAGGTGCCACTGCCTCCCATGTTTACAGGACCCTCCTGGCCCTGGGCGCCTGGGCTGCAGTAATTCATTCCACGTTCCACCCTACTTTATCCCCTTCTAAAGGGAAAAATGACTGTTAGGACCCTGTTCACAAAACTCTTCTTTTATTGCTTTGTCTGATGTCTAGAACTGGGGACTTTTAGATTTTGTTACTTTGTTTACAGGTCAAGATTTAAAACATTTTAAAACTTTGTTTACAACTTACAACTTTGAACTTTTTACACTTTGTTTACAGTTGAAAATGTGGGTTCTCCTCCCCCTTTGTTTACAAGTGAAAGATGGGAAGGTGGGAGAGGGGCTTAAGGACCCTGGACCTGGCCATCTTGAGGGGTTTCTAGCTCCTAGCTCTCCCGGGCCAAAGGTCAGCCCTGAGCCCTCTGTTGAACAGCAGACCCAGAGGCCTCCAGAGTAGGCATCCTCTTACGGCTAGGAACAATGGGTTGTGCAGGGTTGTAGGGGATCTATGCAGATACCCTCCTGCCCTACACATACTCTTGGGAGGCAGTTTCCAAGGAGATTAAAAGTTCTACTTTGTTGACTGGTGCCAAATCCTGCCAGCCAGGACTCCAGCTCTCCTTACCCAGAATGACCCCAGCCCTTGAAGGGGGAGGGGCCCACTGTAGGGAGAGGGGGTTGTCCTTGCTATGTCCCTCTCTGGGGGTCCCCTGCTCCAGCCCAGTGGTCCCTTTCCCTGTCTGTGTAAATTGTTCCGTGAAGCCGCGCTCTGTTTTGGGAATAAACTTCTATAGAAAATGATTATTGCTTCTTTCTGTTTGGGGGTGGGAGTGGGGGGGGCAGGGTAGGGTAAGAGGGTAGCTATGAAGGATTCAGGCCCAGCTGACCTTTGAAAGAAATCTGAGCACTCCCCCCCCCCAATATTCAGCTATTTTTAGCCTATTTCATCTGACATTTGGACCAGGTTTCCATCTCTTTCACCCTGACTTCTGGCCTACTGCCTTGTGATCAGGGGCTAGAAGTATGAGCACAGGTGTTGGGAGTAAGGTGCCAGGGAACCCCCCTCTCTCTTCAAGGTGTCAGTACAATGACTTGGTCTTCAGGGCCTGCGACTCTAAGCTGGCATTTGCCCTGGCCAGGGCTCCAACCCATCCCAGGAACTGCCCTTGCTAACCCCTCAGCCCATGAACAGCACTGACCCCCACTAGCCTCTCAGGCTTGCAACTGGCCAGCACATCGTGTTCCTTCCCCACTCAGGCAGAAACCTTCCGGGCCAGATGCCAGGCTGTGCTCTGTACGGGAGGGAAACCTCGCAGCCTCATTTCACGCCTTGATGTCCAGGGTTGAAGGGAGGCTTTGGGCACCTTCAGCGTCAGACATTGCCTGGTCTTCAGGGGAAAGCTTGAAGGTGGCGCCCTCGGTTGGAGGCAAAAGAAGCCCCAAGGACCGGATACCCCCAGGAGGGCTAAGGTCCTGGTTCCCAGAAGCACCCCCAGGCAGCCCATTGGGGGGTTCCCTCCCCCTCCCGCGGGCACTTTCCGCAGTCAGCCAGAACCTGGTATCCGCCCCGTCGTACCCAGGTACCCGGGGCCGCGGCTACGGCCAGTCTAGCGCGGATCCTTGGTCCCAGTTCCGAAGTTCCATCCGGCTCAGGGAGGCAGCACGAACCAGGCCGCAGGGGAGGAAGGGGTTAAATCTTCCGCCTCGGGGCTCGCCCCGCCCAGAGAACGACCCTTAGGCCCCGCCCGAGCTCGCTGATTGGCCCAGGCCTGCTCTGGCCTGTGCGGGGATTGGCCCCTTGGAGCGCACCGTAGGGCCTCGACACCCATCCGGAGCCCGAGCGGCCTCCCGCCCGAGCGCTTAGGGAGCAGCTGCCACCTGGCAGGCGGCCCGCTGGCCATGGGGCCGTCTGAAGCTTCGGGGTGAGTGCAGGGCGCAGCCCGGGTTCCCCGCGTCCGGGTCCTCGAGCTGCCGCGTGGCCCCGGTGTAGGTGCCGGCTTGGGTTAGCGTGGAGGGGGTGCCGCCAAGTCCGCAGCAGGCGTCTTCCCCCTGCGACGCCTCGGTTTGCTGCTTTGCCGATTTTCTGCAGGCGGCTGCCCCCGGAAGCGAGGGATGGGGGCGGGAGCCGGCGCGCCCCCCGCCCCCGAGGGCTGTGTGGGGAGCCACTCGAGCGCCGCCCGCGGGCTGGCCTCGGGCCGCGGGAGGCGGCTGAGTGTGGAGGAGCCCCGGCCCAGGAGGTGAGCCGCTGGGCGCGTTGGGGCCGGGAGGTCGCCACACCGACTCCGTAGTGCTGGCCTGAGCCCATCCGGCGGTACCTCCGGTCCGGGAATGAGGGGTCGGGCTGGAAGGGCCGAGGTGCCCTCCCAGGGGGAGGGGCCAAGGATCTAGGCCCCGCCCCCCAAACACGCGTCCTGGGGAGTGGGGGAGCCCTTTAAGAACACCTGAGTGACTCACGGAGGAGGGGCAAGGGGGCTCAAAGATCTCTGCGAGACGGCAGTGCCTAGAGTCTTTGAGGATTTGCCTTTTGCACCTACTCCGCTCCCCGCTCCAACCAGGACATCCAGGTTAGAGGTTCTTCCCAGGGGAGTTCCTACCCCTCGGGTGGGATCTTACCCCTAGGTCAGAGCTTTCCAGAAAAATTTCCCAGCGGGGGAGTTCCCCCGCAGGGAAGCCGTCTGCCCTGAGGTCTATTCCCAGGTGATAGCTTTCAACCATTCCGGGTGGGAGCCTCCGCCAGGTAAGAGCTTCCCTTAGGTGAGAGTACCCTCCAGATGAGAACTTTCCTAGCTTTCCTGGCAGGTGAAAAGTTTCCCCACTAAGAACGTTTTCCTCCCAGTATGGGCTTCCTCGAATAAGAACTCCCTCCCCACAGATCTCCTATTACCAAGGGAGGTCCCCTCTTCCCCTCCCCTCTCCCCTTCAGGTGGGAGCCCCTGGGTGGATAAGAGATTCTCTGAATACAGCACATACCTGACTGGTGCAAACTTTCCCATCAGGTGAGAGCTTTCTCTATGTTAGAAAGAGCACCTGGTAGTAGTAGGAGCTTGCGAAGTGAGACCCCTTTCTCCACGTGAGAGCCATCCCCTGGCTTTCCCAGATTAAGCCTGAGTTTGTTCACAACCTGGACTCCCAGGCTGGAGGCCCAGGGGCAACCTTAGTCCCAATATTTTCCTTCCCTTAGATGGGAGCCGCTCTAAAGAGGAGCGTGCCTGAAGAACTGAACCCCTGTCCCTTCCTTGTGTGTGCTCTCAGCCAGCACTGAGCTCATGGGGCAGCTGGATAAAGACTCAGAGACTGGACAGGGATTGTCCTGGGAGGGGGGACAGGCAGCCGGGGACCAGGCCTCATAGAACACTGACAGGTGGGCAGCTATACCTGGGTTGGAGGTATGGATTGTACTCATCTTGCTATCTTTTCATAGGGAACTTTGGCCCAGCAAGAGACTTTTCCCAGCCAAAGTTCAAGAATTGCCACTGGCTGGGCGTGGGTCCAGTTGAAAGCTGGACCTACCTAGATCTTAAGGCCTAGAAAAGTCAAGTGGGTGACTCTGATCCCAGGTGGAAGTGTGAGGGAGGTTGGGCCAGGGGTACACTCACTGTGGATGTGCTCTCACCATCCTAGGCAGAGGGACACACAGGCACTGTTGCCTGTGCCACAAGCCATGGAGCTAAGGAAGCGAGACTACCATGTGGAGCGGCCACTGCTTAACCAGGAACAGCTGGAGGAGCTGGGGTGTTGGACCTCAGCAACTGGGACCCGCCAGTGGCGAACCTGGTTTCAGTAAGGCTGAGGATGGGGGTCTGGGGGGCACTGGCAGGACTTACGTAGACCCTGTCCCCAATCCACCATTGTGTCCCCAGGTGCTCCCGTGCTCGGGCCCGAGCCCTTCTGTTCCAACACCTTCCAGTTTTGGCCTGGCTACCTCGGTATCCCTTGCGAGACTGGCTCCTGGGCGACTTGTTGGCTGGCCTGAGTGTGGCCATTATGCAGCTACCACAAGGTGAGCCACACCTGACCCAGAGGCTGTACCCTCAGCCTCTTCCAGAGGTGAAGAGTGATTTGCAATCCATCAAGGCCCTGTCATGGAAGCCCTATGGTCTCATGCCCCTCTGTAATCTGAAGCTATAAGCCCTGCCCCTGGAACTATGGACCATGACCTAGGGTTGGGAATCCCTCATCCTTCTCAAGGCCCTGGCCTGCAAGCCTCCATTGCTACCATTCTACCTCCAGGCCTAGCCTATGCCCTCCTGGCTGGACTGCCCCCCGTGTTCGGCCTCTACAGCTCTTTTTATCCTGTCTTTGTCTACTTCCTGTTTGGCACTTCCCGGCATATCTCTGTGGGTAAGTGGAACCAGGCTTGGCCTTGCAGGAGGCTGTCCACCTTTCCCTGTGGAGGACGGGATGAGGGAGGGCTAAGTGGGGAGAGGGAACTTGGAGAGGGGGACAGCATCGGTGCTGGACCAGTGGGAGGCTGGCCCGAGGTCATTCCCAGGCAGGACTAGGCCTCTGACTGTGGGGCCGCAGATTCAGAATAACTCAGGGCCCAGGCTCCAGGAGGATGTGGGTGAGATGACTTGAGGGGTCCAGAACTTGGCAGAGGCCTAACCAGCCTGAGGCTGGCCGAGCCCTTTTCCCCATCTCACCTTCTACGAGGAGAGTGATTCTGAGCCGATGGACACAGGTGGGGCAGGGCCAACATTTCTAGCCACCCTAAGATGCCTTGAGTTCAGGGTTCATCCTTGACCACGAGCATGGACTCTAATGCCTAGTGGAGTCTGAAGATACTCCTCTGGAACGGGCTATCTCCTGACCTCTCCCCTTAAGGGCAGAGCTCCAGGGAAGGGCAGCATCCTCTGCCCTCAGACCCACCCTGACCCACCCCTGCAGGCACCTTTGCTGTCATGTCTGTGATGGTGGGCAGTGTGACAGAATCCCTGGCCCCAGATGAGAACTTCCTGCAGGCTGTGAACTCCACAATCGATGAGGCGGCCAGAGATGCTACCCGGGTGGAGCTGGCCTCCACGCTCAGTGTCCTGGTCGGCCTCTTCCAGGTGCGGAACAGGCAGGAGCCTGTGCCCCCACCCTGACCCCACCACTGCCAAACCCATCCCCACCCTCCTCTCCCAGTTCCCCAGAGTGTCTGCCCGTCACCACCCTTCCTCATCACTCTGGCTGCTCCCACCCGCCCTGGGCTCTGCTGTAGCCACCCTGACAACCCTTGTCTCTCCCCTGACTTCCCCTGGTCACCCCACAGGTAGGGCTGGGCCTGGTCCGCTTCGGCTTTGTGGTCACCTACCTGTCAGAGCCCCTGGTCCGAGGCTATACCACAGCCGCGTCTGTGCAGGTCTTCGTCTCCCAGCTCAAGTATGTGTTTGGCCTCCAACTGAGCAGCCGCTCTGGGCCACTGTCCCTCATCTATGTGAGTGAAGGTGGGAGGAGGAGCCGGCGGGGCGTGCCCCACAACCTCCAGTGCCACCCGTGACCCTGACCCCCCCCCAGACAGTGCTGGAGGTCTGCTCAAAACTGCCCCAGAGTGTGGTGGGCACGGTGGTCACCGCGTTGGTGGCCGGTGTGGTGCTTGTGCTGGTGAAACTCCTGAATGACAAATTGCACCGACGTCTACCCCTGCCGATCCCCGGGGAACTGCTGACGGTTTGGATTCTTCGGGGCAAGAGGGTCAGGGAAGGTGGGGGAGGTGCTTGCTGGCAGATGCCCCCCAGACTTCATGACCAGCTGGAATGGGCGGGCACCAGGGAGAGTTCCTGGGGTTGACCACAGCAGGAAGATCTCATGCTGGCACCTTCCGGACCTTGATAGCATCTCTACTTTCCCCAAACAGTTGTGTGTATTACCCCTGTCCTCTGCTACACCACCCACCCCCTGAAGGCTCTGCTTCCGGCATCCATCTACCCCCTTGACAATGCCAAACCCCTCCCCTGACTCTGTCCTCTCTCCCTAGCTCATTGGGGCCACAGCCATCTCCTACGGCGTGGGCCTGAAGCACAGATTTGGGGTGGATATCGTGGGCAACATCCCTGCAGGGTGAGCTCTGGCCCCTGTCCAGTCAGGGAGGATTGGGTGGCCAAGGCAAACACCCTCCTTTGGCCTCACAGATGCCCCTCACAGGCTGGTGCCCCCAGCAGCCCCCAGTCCCCAGCTCTTCGCCAGCCTGGTGGGATATGCCTTCACCATCGCTGTGGTTGGTTTTGCCATTGCCATCTCTCTGGGGAAGATCTTCGCTCTGAGGCACGGCTACCGGGTGGACAGCAACCAGGTCTGGCGGTGGGGTACAGGGGTAGCTGAGTGTACAGCGACCCCAGGGGCTGGGAGCAGGGGTGTATGGAGTATCAGGTGGGACGTGGGGAGGCAGCAAACAGATGTGCTGGGGCCATGTGGGGCACTGAGGGTAGGAGTTCAGGGCATTCGGGGCAGCAGCAGCCAGATCAGGAGACTGTTGAGTGAGGATGGAAGTTGGGGACACCTAGGCCTAGGCATAGTGGCCTAGGGGAGGCACTTGGGAGGGCAGAGGCCAGGCACTAGACACCTGCATTTTTCTCCACCAGGAGCTGGTGGCTCTCGGCCTCAGTAATCTCATTGGGGGCATCTTCCAATGCTTCCCCGTGAGCTGTTCCATGTCCCGCAGCCTGGTACAGGAGGGCGCCGGGGGCAACACACAGGTGGGCTTCGGGCACGGGTGTGCATCCGTGCGCATGCGCACACACACACTGGCTGGGCGATCCCACCCCATTGCTCCCTCCACTTCTACTCTCCTACCCTCCATCCCACCCTCCTGGTTACTCCGCCTCCTCCCCCCCAAAGGTGGCTGGAGCCGTCTCCTCTCTCTTCATCCTCATTATCATCGTCAAACTTGGGGAACTCTTCAGAGACCTGCCCAAGGTGAGCTGCCACACCCACCCAGCCAGGCTTGAGGGACTTGGCCAGACCAGGGGCTCAGGTCAATTAGGACCTAGGTGAGGGGCAGGGATACAAGGTCATGACCTATTTTTCAAGGCTGAGCTCTTTAGGGTGAGATTTGGGGTCAGGGATTAGAACCCTTCAGCTTCAGATCCGAGTTGTTTTGTCCAGGGGTGGCGGTTAGCATCAGGTGGGGTTATGCCAGCATCAGTCTGGCTCCTGCCCAGGTGGTCAGGCTTGTTAGCATCTGGGCATCTCTCAGCAGCCCATGGTGACACTCTCCTCTCACGTAGGCAGTCCTGGCAGCCGCCATTATCGTGAACTTGAAGGGCATGTTGATGCAGTTCACCGACATACCTTCCCTCTGGAAGTCGAATCGGATGGATCTGGTGAGAGGTCTGGGAGCCCAGGGGTGGGGTTAGGGGCCTGCAGCCCCAAGGCCCCCTCTAGAGCCTGTTGACCATTGTCCTACTTTTAGCTCATCTGGCTGGTGACCTTCGTGGCCACCATCCTGCTGAACTTGGACATTGGCCTGGCAGTTGCAGTGGTCTTCTCTCTCCTGCTTGTGGTGGTCCGCACACAGCTGTGAGTCTCCCCTTCTGGTCCCCTCATCCCATTCGGTGAGAGGGTGAGGGCCACACTGGCTCCCTCCAGCTTTCCTGCATCTTGGTGGTAACGCTTGGCTCCCTCAATGCCCCCTTCTCACACACTCTCCTTCACAGGCCCCACTACTCTGTCTTGGGGCAAGTGACAGACACGGATATTTACCAAGATGTGGCCGAGTACTCAGAGGTGGGTGGCAGAGGCTAAGCAAGAGAAAGGCCTGGCGGGGTGGGATGGAGGCACAATGGGCCCTCTGTTGGTCCTTTCTGCACTTTGCAAAGACCCTGGGGGCTGAGTGTGCTTTGGTCCTGGGAACTTCAAGGGAAGAATTTGGGGCTGTGACCCTCCTCAGAGCTATAAAGGGACAGAGGAGGAGTGGATAGAGGTGCTGGGGAGCATGGAGAGGAATCTGACTTGAAGCTAGCAGTCCAAGGCTTCTCTTGCAGAGCAGCCTTGGGGCAGGAATGCTGGGGGGCAAGAGCCCGGGACACCAGGATGTCGGGGAGGCTGTTGCCTGATCTGATCAATGGAGTTCCTACATCTCTAACATTCGTTTACCTCCTGAGAAGGTTCAGGGCTAATAGTGGGGTTCTGGAATAGAACAAGCCTATTTCTGCTGACATGGAACCTTGGAGCCTGAGTACAGTATAATCAGAACAAGGAGAGGACAAGAGGGGGAGCAGCTCAGCTGGACAGAAAGGGAGATGGGGGATGCCTGGGTGGCTTAATTGTTGAGCGTCTGCCTTCAGCTCAGGGCGTGATCCTGGGGTCCCAGGATTGAGTCCCACATCAGGCTCCCTGCGTGGAGCTTGCTTCTCCCTCTGTGTGTGCCTCTGCCTCTCTCTCTCTCTCTCTCTCTGTGTGTGTGTGTGTGTCTATGTCTCATGAATAAATAAATAAAAATCTAAAAAAAAAAAAAGGGAGATGGGAGCTGCTTTGTGCAGGCCCAAGTGCTGAGCAGAGATCTGGGCTATGCCCTGGATGGAGTGGGAGCTGGGGAGCATTCCTCTGTGCGTAATGTAGCAAACAGACCACAGGGTGGGGGGTGGAGACCCAAGAGGAGGCCTGAGAGCCTGGCCTGGGTATTGGCAGAAGGGAAGGGATATGGGAAGGGAAGATGCAAGATGCCCTGGAGGAAGTTTTGACAGGCCTGGCTGAGGCCTGGGTAGCCAAGGGTGGGGAGTGGGGAGCAGGATGAGGAGTTAGGGTGACATGGCCAAACTTCTTTCTGGCTCATGATCTCGGGAGGGCAGGGGTCGCAGGCTGGGCCCATGCTGGCTGGTGAGCAGAGCCCTGGTGATGGGGGGCTCAGGCTGCACAAGGGAGGAAAACAGGAGAATAAGATACAACTGGGAAAGTAGGGGCTCAGGCACCCCAACACTTGCCCATCCCCAGGCCAGGGAGGTCCCAGGTGTGAAGGTCTTCCGCTCGTCAGCCACCATGTATTTTGCTAATGCTGAGCTCTACAGTGATGCGCTGAAGCAGAGGGTGAGTCCTGGGGTCCCCAGGGTGAGCATCAGAAGGTCCCTTGTGTCCCCAAAGTGTCCACATCCCCTTCCCTTGCATTTGCTTCTAGTGTGGTATAGACGTTGATCACCTCATGTCCCAGAAGAAGAAGCGGCTCAGGAAGAAGGAGCAAAAGCTGAAGCGACTGCAGAAGACTCTCCAGAAACAGGCAGGGGCCCCTTTGAGCTGGGGACTCCTGCCCCCGTCCTGCTGCTGAACCCACATGGCCTTTCTCCTGGGCCCGTGGGCTCCTGGGCTCCTGAGTTCTTAGCCTCACTCACCCTTCCTTTTCCCCTGATGCCCCCAGGGCCCCTGCTTTGCTCCCCAGGCAGGTTAGTGTTTTGGGCAAAGTTTGGTTTCACACACACACACACACACACACACACACACACTGCCAGCCAGTGATAGCATGGACCACCACAGTCCTTTTCCATTTTTGGCTGCTCCAGGAGCCAGTCAAACCCTACTGTCTTCAGCCTGGTGGCCTTGGGTTCCAAGGTTTAGTTCCTGGCCTGCCTACCTGCCCAAAGCCTGGGGGTGACACCAGACTTGCCTGGCCTGGCTGCCATATGACAGCTGAGACAGCTCTTTGCTGTCTCCCTTCTCCCTGGCCTAGACTGCAGCCTCTGAGGGGACTTCTGTTTCCATCCATGTTAACACCAGCGTCAGAGACATGGAAAGCAACAATGTGGAGGACTCTAAGGCCCAGGTGAGGCTGGAGGTGGGAGAGGGGCCAGCCAGGAGCTGCAGAAATGTGGGTGTATCATGCATGTCCTGAGAGGAAAGCCATGGACTTACCCGCTGGGGCTTCAAGGTGGTTGTACCAATGGTAGGAGTGGGGGTGATGGAACTGATTCCCCATGGGGAGAAGCCTGGTGATCTGCCATAGATTCTGCTTGTGGTTCTCTGATCTGCCATCCAAAGACCTTGAATTTGTAGAGTCCATGAGACCTCACAGTCTGTGTTCATGGGTAGAGGGAAGGGATTGGGGGTATGGGGAAAAATATGGGATCAGAGGGTGTGCCAAGCCCAATTAGGGACCCAGGCTGGGTGCCAAGGTGTCTGTGTGTGCATGTGTGTCCCTGAGCCCCCTATTCACTCCACATTGGCTGGCTAAGGTTGGGGCGCATTTGCCCACCTCCCTCCCTAGGTCCCTAGGCCTGGACCTGGGAGGTAACAGAGCAGTATATGCACGTCTGTGCATGCTCCCTGAGTCTGAGCTTCCTCTCCTGTGCATTCCCATGTGTCCCTCCAGTCTTTGTGTAAAAGAGGCTCCACCATGTCCAGGTTTCCATGTGTCCGTGCATGTCCCATATATGTGGGTATTTACATGCATGCTCCCACAACTGACCCCATGTGTCCCTTGCATGTCCGTGTATGTTCCTTGCCATCGCTCCTTCATGTGCAGCCTTTGCAGTGTGTCTGGTTTCCCAGCAGGCGAGCACAGGGAATGAGGTAGAGGATATAGCAGCTGGTGGTCAAGAAGATACTAAGGCCTCAAATGGGTCCACACTGAAGGCCCTGGGCCTGCCTCAGCCGCACTTCCACAGCCTCGTCCTGGACCTGAGTGCCCTCTCCTTTGTGGACACTGTGTGCATCAAGAGCCTGAAGAATGTAAGGGGCTAGGAGCACCCTTCAGCAGAGCCCTGGGAGGGGACCAGTCCCCCCAGTCCTCTTGACCCTGTAACTGGACCCAAGAGCCGTCTGAACTCCCCCTCAAAACTCCCTCTCCCACAACCTGCCTGAGTCCTTCCTCAGAGCCCTGGAGCCTCTCTCTGAATCTGGCCCCCTTTCCTGCTGCAGATTTTCCGCGACTTCCGAGAGATCGAGGTGGAGGTGTACCTGGCTGCCTGCCACAGTGCGTGCTTGGGGACAGCACGAGTGGTCTGGGAGGGGAATGGGGCTCTTCCAGCCAAGGAGCCTGCCATGCAGCACAAGGAAAAGTCTTTCTCTGAAACTAGAGCTCAGAGGTGTCTTGGGAGGCAGGGGGTCAAGGATCAAGAGGGACTAGAGGTTTAGTTGCAACCCCAGGAGTAGAGGTCATAGGTGAAATGGGTCAGGGTATTCTGGTGATTGGGGTTGGTGTTCCTGGTGATTCTGTGAGTCAGGGGAGACCTCCTTCCTGCCTGCAGCTCCTGTGGTCACTCAGCTTGAAGCCGGGCACTTCTTCGATGCATCGATCACTAAGCAGCATCTCTTTGCCTCTGTCCATGATGCTGTCCTCTTTGCTCTCCAACACCCGAAGTCCAGCCCTGCCAACCCTGTTTTGGTGAGCTGGCCTCTGGCTCACAGAGCTCTTTTTGTTTGCCTATGCTTATCCCTACCCTGACCCCCACTTCTGGGAAGTCCGCCCTTCCTGAATGGCTCTGCCCCCAGTGGACCCACCGCCTTCCCTTCCCACATGCAGCTAAAGCTGCTCCTGGGAGCAGGAGTTGCTGTCCTGGGGGAAGGGGCAGGTATGTGTTTTTGGAAACTGACTGGAGCCTCCCATCCTTGCCTACTCAGATGACCAAACTCTGACCACGCTGCTGCCCAGGCTGAGACTACTTACCTCTGGAGGTTGTGACCAGGCACTTGTGAGAATGTCCCTACCCTTGGGCTGCCTCCAGATGTCACCCAGGAGTCCTCTCCGTATATACACACACATACAACTCAGGGATGGAGGTTTTGGGACTCCCAAGTTCAGTGCTATAGGCTTGGGCCTGGGGTTGGGCACTGGAGTCAGACCAGCACTGGCTGGGTGGGGGGAAGATGCATGTTTTTAGCCCCAGAAATAAAGACCTGTTTGCCTACCACTGGGCTCTGCTATGCCTTGGTGGAGTGGGCAGTGATCAACAGCCCTGGCTCCTGACCCTTCTTATGCCCCAAAGTGGAGGCTGAAGTCAGAAGTTGGGGGGAAGTTTTGGGGAGGGCAGAGTCAGGTAAGAGAATAGAGCCCAAGGGAGAGTTATGGAGCCCAGGCCAAGGGTTGGGGGCACCCCAGGTTCAAGCTCTCCAGCTATGCACAACCCTTGGGGCCTGTTTCTTCAGTTGGAACACCATGGAATCAGAGCTGCTTCTTAGGAATGGTCCTGGTGAGTGTAGCCATCGGAGGATGTGGAGTGAACACCTGAGCAACCAGCTGGGAAAGCATAATGTTCACAGGTGCTGCTGGTCTGTGTTGAGAAGTAAGAACACACAGGATTGATATACTTGGTAAAAGGCCTGTTCACATCCTTAGACCACTTGGGCTCTGCAGGTCACTGTCAGCCAAGAAGCATGTGCTGCTTTCTACCACAAAAGGCCAGCATCTGGGCATGTCGCCCAGTGGGCAGCAGTGGGCCTTCCTATGGGCCAGCTGATGCTCTGAGTGATTGGGAGCAGGAGACTAGAATCTTCCTGGGCCTCAGTGTCTCCTCGGCAGTACAGCGCGAATGGTGACTGTACCCACTTTGTGGGTGCTCAGTGAGTATGAAATGAGTCAGTGCCATGGAACGCTTGTGGCAAGACTTTGCTCACATCACCCGCTCGGGATGTGCAAGCTCTGCTGTCCCCCAGGTACTGACCAGGTGCTCAGCTGTGTGCTGGGCTAGTGGACAGAGGCTGCTCTGTCCTTCAAGTCACCCAGGTGCCCCTTGTCCAGCTCAGTGTTTATCGTATTCTGCAGTGGCGACAGCCTGCTCTGTGTTCATGAATCATCTGCCCCACCCCCCAGAACCACAGCTCAGGAAATCAGGGCTTTTTATCTACTCTGACACGCCATGGCCCAGCACCAGCAACGGTGGTGTGTGGTGTGCTTAGCAAATATTGGGTGAGTAAAGCTCATGTGCTAGACTGGAGGGCAGACCTCAACTAAGAAATTGCGGACAGAACTGCTTTGAAGAAAAAACTGGGTCATGAAAGAGAGAGAGAGAGAGAGAGAGAGAGAGAAAGGAAGGACTCTATTGCCCATCATGGTCATGGGAGGGAAGCTGAGGGAGTAGGTCACACAACTGAAACACCAGCCGTGGGGAGTGGAGGAGTGGAGGACCATGTCCTGCCAAAATGAACTGCAAATGTGTTCAGGAACACCAGGGAGGCCACTGGGGCCTGTGTGAGGCCAGATGGAGGGAGGACACAGGACACAGGACCTCCCAGGCCAGGGTGAGCCTGCAGGCTTTACTCAGAGTGTGTGGGGGCCCCATACTTCTGAGGGCTCATCCTGCTGGAATTTGTACTGTAGGGTAGGCTGGGCTTTGGGGGCCAGCTTTGTGCTGGACAGCAGCCTTAGGAACTGTGAAGTGTTAGGATTTTAGGGATCGAAGGCTAGATGAGGAGGAGGAGGTAGGGGGAAGAAGGTATCCCTTCAGACCCGGGCTGGCTCAGAGATTGGCACCCAGGACTCAAGCCTGCCCAGTGCACCTGCCCCCCAGCCCTGGAAGCTCCCCTTCCCTCCTGCTGTGCTTTCTGGCCAGGCTGCCCCTCCTGAGAGGCCGTGGGCCCAGCTGGAACTTGCCGCCTGCTGCTGGGGGAGGGGTGTTTGCCCGTTGCCAGGCGCCCGGGTTCTACCCAGGCACTTGGCACAGCCATGCTGCTCGCACCATCCTTCCTGCTACTGCTGCCCTTGCTGGCCATGCCAGCCCCCTCCCTCACCTGGACACGGCCCCTCTGGTACCAGGTGGGGCTGGACCTGCACCCTTGGGGGTGCCAGCCAAACACCCTGGATGGTTGTGGGAGCAGCCTGGGCTGTCCTGGCCACTGGATGGGCATGGGGATGAACCGCATCTACCCTGTGGCCGGGGTCACAATCACCACTACCATGATGCTGATGATCAGCCGGGCCGTGCTGCAGCGGCGGCGCTCCCAGGCTGCTAAGCTCGAGGTGAGCAGAGGACTGCTCTGTCCTCCACAGCCTCCTACCTCCACTTAGACTCAGTGAGCTCATGTCTTCCACCCCTCCTCCCCTCTCTACCTCCTACCCCCCGTGCCTCCATCTGTCTCCTCCCCACCACTCACACCCTGTGGTCCCTATCTCTGTCCACACTCATCAACCCCTGATCATTCCCTATGGCCAGTACTTTGCTCCTATCTATCTACCCCTTTAATGTCCCTGTTCCTCGTCCAGCCCCCTTGGCCCCCATGACCACCCTAGCCTCCAGCAGACCCCTGATCACCCTTCCTCACCAACTCCCTTCCTATGCCCTTCTCCCTGGTCCCATGGCTGCTCCTTACTATACCCCCCCATCCTGTCCCTCTGCTCTCACTCCTGCCTCTTGGTCCTATCCTCAGCATCCTCAGGTGACTACTAACCCCTCTGGACCCTGGAAGCGGCGGGCCCCAATCTCAGACCGTGCCCTGCTCCGTGGGGTCCTGCACATGTTAGATGCCCTCCTGCTCCATATTGAGGGCCACCTGCAGCGTATATCCAACCAACAGAAGACCCAAATAAAGGAGTGTCCCACCCAGACTGGGTGACCCAACGTATGCCTCTCTTTGCCTGGTGGCCAGTTGGGGTTGGGATAGCCTGAGGCTCTGGACCAAGCTCAGGCCCGTGTGTGTGTGCGTCTTCTCCAGGCCTTCCTAGACCCTGTGTCCCCTTTCTACTGCAGCCAGCGGACCTGAGGTCTCTGTGCCCAGGATGGGTGGGTAGATAGGTGGTACTGGCTCACACTGCTCCGTTGCCCCCACCAAGAAATAGACCCCTCTTCCCTCACAAATGCAACTGTCTCTCTGGAGCTCCTCACGGGCCCCAGTGTGGTGGAACAAGACTTGACCATCAGGGCAGAATGGGGTAGTCCATGGAGCACTGCCCAGAGGAGGGGACAACCTAGCTGAGTCACTGAGGGCTCCGTGTAGGTGATGCAGGGGTCGGGGTTGGGAAGGTGGGGTGGAGGCTGAACCCTGGCCGATTTTATCTTTGTGGCAGCCTCAAACATGCTCTGGCATCTGAGTGGCCCTTGCCCTAAGGCCCTTGGAAGTGGAGGGAGGGCTGAACTTCACTCCCTTCTTCCCTTTCTTCTGCTGCAGAAAACCCAAGATGAGTAGGTACTGAGGCCCATATGTATTTAAAGTCTGTTTTAGAAAAAGAATATAAAATTACGAATTAAAAAATAGAAACATGCATTCACATGAGGAAAGAAACAAGAGATTACAAATGTCAAAGAGTTGACCCTACAATGCAAAATCCAGACCAGTAATGTGCTTATGGTGACATCCTGACCCATTTCTGTAATGCAAGTCCTCCTGTACTCCCTGGCTGCTGATTCTGACAACCTCTATATAGGATGAGGAGTTTGTCATATGGGGATGTATTCTCTATACAGAAAAGAGAAAAATAATTCAGTCTTCCTTCTAACGTGGTTGATTGAAACTTGTATTTTAATTTTTGGTAGTTTAGGGACACCTGGGTGGCTTAGTGGTTGAGTGTCTGCCTTTGGCTCAGGGTGTGATCCTGCGGTCCTGGGACTGAGTCCCACATTGGGCTCCCTGCATGGAGCCTGCTTCTCCCTCTGCCTGCCTCCATCTCTCTGTGTCTCTCATGAATAAATAAAATCTTTAAAAAATCTGTTTTGGTAGTTTAGAGAATTCCTCTCCTAACCTGTTTTTGATAATGTCCCATCAATGGTCTAGATGGTTTTCGAATATTGAAAACTGTCATCAACTTACCTTCGTATAGAAGCTGTGTAACTTGGAAGAATTTGCTAAAGATGGACTTCTGGCTCCACAGACCTTTCAAAACTTGTTTTCTTTGTATGGCCCACAATTTTCTAGCACGGGGCATTGTGGGGGCAGGTTCTAAATGCAGTGGGATCCTGTATATCTATTCTGACCAGGAGCTCTAACCTGGCAGGAGGTTCCTGGAGGCCTCCTGTACCAGGGAAGGAACAATAAAGTAACCGCACACAGGAGTGGGGTGAACCACGTTGGGTCCCTCTGAACCCAAACCAAGTGTGTCCCTGAGGTAGGCTTAGCGCTGTGCCACCCAGGTCCCTCAGCGGGAAAGCCTGCTGCTGTCGGCAGATGGGTCTGCCTTAGCTGCAGAAAGGCCTCATCATAGCTAGTTTTTGCCCTTGGCCTAACCCTTTCTCTCCCTCCCTCAGATACCGATCTTGACTCCTTGGTAAACATCCTAATCTCCCTCTTTGAGTTGGTGTCTCAGAGAACTCAACCTGGGACAACCTCCAACCCACCTTCCTCTTGGCTAACCATCCAAACTGTTATAACCCCTTTAATGCTCCCTAAAAGAGGAGGGGTAGGATAAAGGGATTGACTGGAAAAGGAAAGAGGTTCTAACTGAATGCTGTTAGAATATCTTCATTTTGTGAGCTAAAAAAAAGAAAAAAAAAAACCCACCGGAAACAGAAGGTCAGAAAGTTCTACAAGGTGTACCAGCAGTTCCAAAGGAAATACCCATGGATAGAATGATTCGGGGGGGGGGGGGGGGCCTGGGTGGCTCAGTCAGTTAAGCATCTGCTTTCAGCACAGGTCATAATCTCCAGGTCCTGGGATCGAGCCCTGCATCAGGCTCTGTGCTCAGTAGGAGGTCTGCTTCTCCCTCTGACTCTGACCCTCCTCCCTGCTGTGCTCTCTGTCTCAAATAAATAAATAAATAAATAAATAAATCCTTAAAAAAAAGAAAGTCTTGCCCTTATGGACACACTACTGGGGGTCTTCCCAAGGCCCGGAAGAGAAGGCCATTGAAACTTAGGATTCATCAGCTTCTTGCTAGACCCACTTCTACATTCTGAAGGTTCAGAAGCACCGTTTGCTAGTTCTATTGTGGATACTGGATCCACTGATATACAGAACAGAAGGGGCTCCTCCCTTACCCACTCACAAATGGGAAGGTGGTAGTAATGGCGGTGACGGTGAAACCAATTCAAAAAAAGCAATCACTCTACAGAGAGTTGTGCTGGCCTAGTCAGGGTGGAGCAGAGGTGGGCTGACTGCTGGCACCTGAAGAAAAGTGAGGTGACTAGAGTAGGAGAGAGTGTTCCAGTCAGAATGACAAGCCTAGTAGAGGGGGTGGGGGCAGAACTTGGCCTTGTCCATGAACTAGGCGATGGTCAGAATTTCAGGGGACGAAGAAGCTCTGGAGACTAAGGAGCAGGCTAGGGAGGCGGAGGGGTGATACCTCCTGGTGAGGGTTTGGTGGGCAGAATAATGGCCCCTCAAGATGGCCATGGAATCTGTGGTTACAGAACATGGCAAAAAGAACTTGGCAGATGTAATTAAGGTTAAAGACCTTAAGGTAGATTATTCTGGATTATTTTGCTAGGCCCAATGTAATCACATGAGTCCTTAAAAGTGATGAAGAGGGCAAATGAGTTGGTCAGATTTAAATTATGAAAGGTACTTGATCCTCTGTTTCTTGTTTTGAAGATGGGGGAAGGGATCTTCCACCATCCAAAAATCCAAGGAATTCAGATGACCTCTGGAAGCTGGGACGACCCCTTGGAGATAGTAAGAAAAACAGGAACCTGGGGTGCCTAGATGGCTCAGTTGCTTGAGCATCTGCCTTCTGCTCAAGTCATGATCCTAGGGTCCTAGATCGGGCTCCACATCGGGCTCCCTGCTCCTTAGGGAGCCCGCTTTTCTCTCTCTCTCTCTGCCTACCTCTTCCCCTGCTTGTTTGCTCACTCTCTCTGTCAAATAAATAAATAAAATCTTTATTAAAAAAAAAGAAGAAAAACAGGAACCTCAGACCCTACAACCACTAGGATCTAAATTCTGCCAACAGGGGACCCCTGGGTGGCGCAGCGGTTTGGCTCCTGCCTTTGGAGACCCAGGATCGAGTCCCATGTCGGGCTCCCGGTGCATGGAGCCTGCTTCTCCCTCTGCCTATGTCTCTGCCTCTCTCTCTCTCTCTCTCTCTCTCTCTCTCTCTGTGACTATCATAAATAAATAAAAATTAAAAAAAATAAATTCTGCCAACAACCCTAATGATCAGGGACACAAATTCTCTCCTAGAACCTCCAGAAAGAAACACAGTTCTGCTGATGCCTTAATTTTAGCTTAATGAGATCCATGTTGGACTTTGAACCTACAGAACTGTGAGATAATACATTTGTGTTCTGAGTCATTGGGTAATTTGTTGTGACAGCAATAGAAAATTAATACAGATGTTGGTATCACGAGCAAGGTACTACCGTAACAAATTCTAAAAATGTGGGAACAGCTTCGGAATTGAGCAGTGAGCAAAAGCTGGAAGAATGTAAGGAGCATAATGGAAAAAGCCAGAACATCCTTCAACTATTAGCAGAAATCTTGACCTTAAAAATGCTGCCAGTGAGGGCTCAGAAGGAAACAAGTGACATGTTACTGGGGACCAGGAGGAAGCAGAATGCTAAGTAGCTGCAGAAAGCTTAGTGGAATTGTGTCCAGCAGTTGGGTGGAAAGCAGAACTTGCAAATGATGAACTTGAACATTAGGTAGAAGAGACTTCCAAGCAAAATGTTGAAAATACAGCCTTAGCTCTTCTTGCTATTTATGGTAAAATCCAAGAGGAGGGAGGAAGATTGAGAGAAAAAGTATTAAAACAGATCCAAGACTTGATGCTAGAAATTCTTGGCCAACTGTCCAAAAAAAAAGACTTTCCCCAAAATTATTGGCCTTAATACAATTCTAATCAAACCAGGCTTTTCTTTTAGATTGACAGAGTACTGTCTTGATAAATAATTTAGAACACAATGTGACATCACAAGAGATGATAGAGTAGCACTCCTCAGGAATCCTTCCTTCTATTAAAATAACTATTGACCTAGCAAAAATTGTGTAGCAGCTTTTTTGGAATTCTAAAGTCTAGGTTGAACACTTGCAGCATCCAAGGGAGAGCTTGATGGAGAAATTCAATTCAATGAATTTCCCTGTTTCAAACCCCACAGGCTGAGGCAGCTTCCCAGCTGCAGGGGATTTAAGTAGACCTCACTTCACCACCCCCATTTCCACCTTCCTTCTGGGAGCAGGACACTTAAGGAAACCTTTGTCAGATGACTGGCTGACCAAGTGATAATAGAATAGAAACTTCAGTTTCTATACACAACAAGGAAAATACACTTTGTAAAAATAGTATGGAGAGGTCATAAACAGATGGCTTCACCCCTCCACAAGCTGAAATCAGAAATTACTGAAGAAAAAAAAAAGAAATTACTGAAGAGTTCTCACTCTCCAGAATTACCACATTTCATATTCAGAATGTCTAGTTTTTTTTTTAATTTTTTTTTAAATTTATTTATGATAGTCACAGAGAGAGAGAGAGAGAGAGAGAGGCAGTGACACAGGCAGAGGGAGAAGCAGGCTCCATGCACCGGGAGCCCGACGTGGGATTCGATCCGGGGTCTCCAGGATCACGCCCTGGGCCAAAGGCAGGCGCCAAACCGCTGCGCCACCCAGGGATCCCCAGAATGTCTAGTTCTTAACAAAATATTATGAAACATGTTAAGAAATGGAAAAGTGTGGCCCATTCACAGAGGAAA